CTAAAATCCACTAAGAATCTTTGTATTTGAATGCAAATACCTTCCAAGATGATGTTAATAGTGTGCATGAAAACATCTAGCCAGAAGGATAATGGAGAAACCAGATGACCCAATTTTGCATTCTGTGCCTGTGATAATTAGCTGGTATGCCATACTTTTACAATATTAAAAGATACTGGTACAACTATACATTTTTTGGAGGAGGGACTGAGGGAATTTTGAGTGACAGGATAGGTGAATGAGTCAGAAACACACCCACACACCCACACATACATGCTTGAACTGATTGTAAACAGAGGAGGAATGTTTTAACTATCTGAAGTTCTTAACTCTCCTATTTTGAAACCTGCGGAAGTTTTGGTTTGGATGGTCATGGCATTCAATGATACTAAGAGATATTCCTCATCTATAGCAGATGAGAGGAAGTGTCTCAGCGCCTCAGTCTCTTGCCACACAGGAGTCAGGAGGGCCAGAATTTGCTTCCTACGGCCAGGATATGGACAGTCTTCACTTTCATTTCTCCAACACGGTACAGAGTTAAGGTTGCCAAAGTACTGTTGAACGAGTGAGGTGTGGCTCCCTCTGTTGGTTGGGAGCCCCCAAAATCTGCTGTACAAAGTCGAAGTAGGATTGAGGCAGGGGACAGCTGATTGATCAGCTAAAGGAAGAAGGAATCCAGCTGATACTTCCTTTTTATTAATTCTGACCCCCTCATTATAAAAACATTTAACTGTTTTTATACAATTACGCCTCCTAATTTTCTTTTAGTACCGAGTTAACCTTAACCAAAATTTATTCCTATCAAAGAACACCGGAACACAAAATGTGGGCTGGTTTAGCGTGACTTGTCCTTTATTCCTAAGAATTGTCTTTTATCCCAGTCCCTTTAAGATTGATCTGATTTCAGCCTGATTTAGTGTAACATAGCTACACACATCTTATATATTTTCACGTAGCAGAAGAGATAGCTATAAATGAATCTGATAGGAAAAAGAATTATGACTCCACCAGCTTAGGATTTTCCTCTAGCTTATATTTAAAACGATTCCTGAGCCATTCTGAAACTCTAAACAAAAGCCACGGTAAAGCAGATCACTGTAATTTTCTCTAAGAAGGCATGAAGAGCTGAGAGTGGAAAAAAATATTTATGTGTGGTTATACAAATTAAATGTTCTGTGAATGTTTGCCGCTTATTTTAGTATCATAGTGCCACATAAGTTGAGCTGGTTGAAAAATTAAATGCAGTTACAGTTTCCCCAAATCCTGATACCCTACACAGATTTATGCTTACTAAAGTGGATCAGTTGAGCTTTTCTGTTAGGTAAAATAAGGGAATAATGGAATATGCTTGCTATCAATTCAAAGCTTAGGATTTGGGAAAGTGTATTTATAAAAAGAAATGCATCTAAGCCAAAAGCTGTATCACATATGTTAGTGAAGAAGAAATTTTGTTGTAAGGCAGGGGGTGTAATCAGGTGCACATTCCATTAAGGTCTTGTTCTCTTAGTAAACCACGACAAATGTCTAAGAACACATTTGATTAAGTACTTAAAGTTTTGTTGTTTTTCTATTAAAAAGTCACACTTTGGTTTCCTTTTCATGTATTTATTTTTTTAAGTTTATTTATTTATTTGGAAAGAGAGAGAGAGGTTGGGAGGGGCAGAAAGAGAGGGAGAGAGAGAGACAATCCCAAGCAGGCTCTGCACTGTCAGCCCAGAGCTCGACCCAGAGCTAGAACCCAAGAATGGTGAATTATGACCTCAGCTGAAACCAAGAGTCAGATGCTTAACCAACTGAGCCACCCAGCTGCTCCTCCTTTGCATTTATATTTTGACCCTGTAAGAAATGAACATTGTATAAAAGACCTTTTTAAAAGTAGGGTTAGAAAATACCCAGTTACAATGAGAATGGTTGTTGTATGTACAGTATTATTTTATGACTAAGGTTTTTCTTTTCAGTTTACTGAATACAAGAAATCATTTTTGGGGATCTCATATCTTCCGAGTCTAGAAAGCCTTGTGCAGATACATAAAATTTTAAAAAAAGCTTTGCAATACACATTTTCAATAAGTTTTAGAAGCAATATATAGTGTTTCTAAAAGAAAAGTAATAAGATTTTATATAAGATACAGTATCATAACCAAAGGAAAAACATTTGGAAATTCTCAAATAAACTTAGATTTTCTTCACTTGAAATTTAATGTAATTTCAACTTGTTTTCTAGATTTCAATTTTGTAAATATAAGTAAGGAGTTGGCAGAAATAAAGTCTAAAATGAAGATAAACTTACTCAATATTTTATCTTTGGATGGAATCCACATTTCAGGTTGAAAATTGTCTCTGAAGTATAAATTATAGAGTTTGCAAGAAGGATCAATAAACTCGTAATTAGATCTGGGACTCGGGTGGATTCAAAAGATTCTCTTATGTTGTGTATGTGATGAATTCTGATTTTGTATTTTAACTTTGTTACAGAATTTATGCTGTAAGAAATGCTTCAGAAATTAGAACTTTTATGCATGTTAAGATTCTTTAGCTACTTAAATCTTTCTAGAAGAATTAAAGGGTAATTTTTAAAGTTCTGTTAATTGTAAATGAAATAAATTCAAACTCATGGCTTCATTCACTATTATGAATTATGTGTTCTATCATTTATTAATATAGTCTTTGGTTTGTTTCATCTTCAGAGAGATCTTATTTTTTTTTAACTGTATTCAATCTTTTTTGGGGGTAAGAGAGGTGGAGAGAGACAGAATCTCAAAAAGGCTCTGCACTGCCAACGCAGAGCCCAACTCAGGTCTCAGACTCATGAACTTTGAGATCGTGACCTGAGCTGAAACCAAGGATCAGGTGCTTAACTGACTGAGTCACCCAGGTGTCCCAGAGAGATGTCTTTTATAGAACTAAGGCACTCTTGATATATTTCTCAAACCAAAAAAAGGAGGCAGATTTTGCTCTAAATAAATTTGAGAAACAAAACAAGATGTGTTTTACTCTTGGAGATTTAGAACGTGCATTCATATACAGAGACTCTGAAGTCAAAAAGAGATGACTTTAATTAACTTTATTATTTATTCTAACGTCATAGGACCATAGAACATCTTGGAGATGGGGTGGGGTGAAGGGGTATATATTTTAAGAAGCACTAATTTATTGAATTTTTGACTAACTTCCTTTGTTTTTAAATGTGCATTGTTTTTCTTTCTTTTTTTTTCCTAAAGTTTATTTTGAGGGCCACAGAGACACTGTGAGTGGGGGAGGGACAGAGAGAGAGAGAGAGGGAGACAGAGAATCCGAAGCAGGCTCTTTGCTGTCAGCCCAATGTGGGGCTTGAACTCACAAAACCATGAGATCATGACCTGAGCTGAAATCAAGAGTGGGATGTTTGAGCCACCCAAGCACCCCTTATTGTGTTTTCTTGTAATAAAACTTTAGAGTATCCATGTTTTAAATGTTAAAGAGACACAGAAAAATGTGTTTTTACATAGTGCTCAGGTTACTACTGAAGACATATGGAAGATGGATTTTTATCTTCAATCAGTTCAGGAGAAGAAAGGAAAAGGAAATCAGTATAAATGGAGTATTCTGACATTGTATAGAACTAGTCTTGAAGCCTCAAGGAATGAAACTTTTAAATTCCTTGACAATCATTTTGTTCATTTTTTTTTCTTTCCATTTTCACTCTGTGATGCAATTTATGTCCATAATTTATAGCTATGGCATATTTCAGCGTTATTGATGGCTGGCAGAAATGGGTGTATACATTTATTCTTCAAGAGTCAGTGCTGACCCACCACTTTGGTACAATAGCAAAGTGTTAGTTTGTTAGATAATCTCA